GGCTAAATTATGTACTTAGTGAAAGCTTGTTTTTACCCTTTAATGGTTGGTTAACCTTAGTTTTTAATTAAGGTTTACTCTATTAATTCAAATCCTGTTGTTTTAGTGAAGGTTTCTCTCTATATAATCTCTTGACTTATTATGCTATATGTAATGAAATCTTGAGATTCCCTGTCAACAAAATAGCTAGATTTTCATACTTGGGTTTAATTATTAGAGATTGCCTTTAATTAATTAATTGGTTACTCTTTATGAAATTGGGTATTTGATTGTTCAATTGCTTGATTTATCATAGACTCTAAGCATGGTGAATGCTTGTCATTGACAATTAGATGTTCAAAATCATTTGGATACGCTTTTTGATTATACAATAGTGAGTTTCCTAAGTAATTAGGAGTTAATTGCTACCCAAGTGTATTGAAATAATACTCAATGCCTTAGTGTTTTCCCAAACTAGTTTTCATAAACATTTTTCATTTAATTTTGACTAAATTCCAATTATCAAGCCAAAATCCCAAATATCTTCATATTTTATTTCTTTGATCTTTTATACACTCCATCAATTCTCGACTCCCTATGGATCGACCTTGGATCTCAACAAGAATTATTACTTGTTCGATAACCTACGTTTGAGTTTACATCTTCTAAGACGAAGAAGGCCATGCAAAGATTCACCCATTTTAGGGCTCAGAGCCCACCAAGTGCCTAAACATATGGGACTTTTGGTGCTTTGGTCATGTAAAGACTTATCCATGTTTAGGGTCTAACCTTGAGTCTCATGTTACCTCTTTAAACAAAAAGTACTCCCAAGTACTAGTTCTTGAACCCATCCCCGAGAGGTTTTTGCCTACAATAGGACTTTTAGTGCTTTGACCAAATAATGTTTTACTCATTTCTAGGGCCAGGGCCCACTGAGTGCCTAGACATGTAGGGGTTTTTTGTGACCTAGACTTGCTTTCATGCACCCAGTAACTGTCCTATAATGAATGATTACCCAAGCTCACTTAGCAAAAAATACATTTTTGGTATTATGCAAACCCAATTGGAGGCTTGGCTACCCCTCAGCTGGTCTAAACTTTGCCCCCCAGTGCATATCTTAGCGGTCACGCGGTTTCGCTCCATGTCTCAGAATGATGGAAAACCCAGAATTAATGTGGATGAGGATATTTCATTCATCCTCATCACAGTCAGATCTCAAGACCATGAGAATGATCTGTCTGCGATTGTAGTCCGAGCGATGAACTTTGCCAAGTCTGAGACATTTTTGATGTTGATCCCTTCTCGGGGTCTCTTAAGAGAAAAAGTTGGGGGTGAGAGGGCAAGTTCCAACCTCCCCTGCGCCTATTTGGAGACGCCGAATAGTGTTTGTGGGCTTTATTAATGGTGCTAATCATTTTAGTAGAGTTGTCGAGAACCTCTGTGATGTGGACGCACTTTTTCAACAGCTAGGGTAAAAATGCCTGACAATATTTGTGGCTAGGAGCTTTGCACATTTGTCTCATTTTGAAAATGTGTAGCATTTTCTGAGTTCACACAAGTCATCTTAGTCGAGATCATCAGAGTGTATTGAGTTACAGGAGCCATCACAACATATGTATTTACGGTGTTTGATGAAATGCCTGAATGGATTATTCTTTGAGAGCCTCCCACTACTTCAGCATTGTACTCCAAAAAAGTGTTGATCACAATGATGGATGCTGAGAGCATGTGGCGATATAGCTTGCTCCCAAGGAGATTACTTTTATGCTTGTCGTCAATGAGGTCATTTTTGATCAGTATTTCAAATGTCTTATACTCCTCTGCGATCTGCGAAGAGAGACAGAGCTAGAGGATTCACAAAAGCCAATGGATGATTGACATCCTGCTTGTGAATAAATATATTAACCTCCTTCGGATAGTTGAGAACTATACAAGAATATGGTCATGCCACCATCTGGATGTTAGATCGAAGGTACCAGAGGCCTTGTTTGGAATCGTCACATACACGATAAGATGACAAATGGAGAGCCCGAGCTCTATGAACCATGTGCGTGAAGTAACCGAGCATGGTCTTATGCCTGACTATTCTAGATGTACACTCATGTGTGTAATAGAAGTCAAGCATGGTATCTTATATTGAATTACCATGACTATGATACTTATCTCTATATTCGGCGAACTCTGACTGAGTTTTGAGCATGAGATATATCGAGCCCGAGCTTCATATACATGCTATGATGATATAGTACTTGTTCAGTGCCTGAAGACCGACCACCTAAACCACTCTTGGGCTTCATAGGCGGCGCAGACTACTTCGCATGTTAATGCTGAATGTCGTCAGTTCCTTTGAAGATTCTATGCAGCTCTTGGAGTAAGTGTCGAACCAAAGATTTTGCTAATTCCATAACAATCCAAGCAACCTCCAATGAGTCCAATTGATGATGTTTGGATTCAGAATACGAGCTGGGTGCTTGAACTAAAGAGCTTAAGGCTTTGTGGTACCATTTCAATGAGTGTGTGAAGGTTGGTGGTTAATTTGCGATGGAGCCAAGAGGCTCCTAATAAGCATTCAAACGAAACAAAAAAAATGGTTGATCTAGGGATACTAGAGAGTACAGGAATTATAGTGGTTCACCAGCTATAGAGTCTGGCTAGTCCACTCCAATGGAGTCTCTTGCCCTTAGAGATTTTGTATATTTCTTAGAGAAGAAGGATTGATTATAGAGTTTCTCTCATATATCCTCTCTTGAGTAAGGGCCTTGGTATTGATATGTGATAGTGTTGTCACTATCGGGTGGTCTCCTAGTTTGTTAGGATTTTGTTGAAGGAATATTTGGGTCATTTGAGTCTATATTCCCTAGGCTGTTAAAAACTACATTCTCTAGGAGTGATGTAATCTTCTAGAACATGTTGTGATGGCTTGATGACCTGTCTTCCAGCTTGGACATGTGACGATCATGTACGCCTCTGGCGAAGTCTAACATCTGTTGCGTATGCTTTGAAATGAGCTCTTCTACTAAGGATAGCTTGTATATAAAGAGGTCAGTTTAGTCAGTTGTCTTGATCTCGTAATGTTAATCCTCTTCGGGATTTTTTTTGAAGCAGCCTGAACGATTCTCCTTGAGGTCATCATAGGTCATGCTAGGCTTCTTACCTTGGGTAATCTTCACCATACGGTTTCAAGATAGTCCAATTACTTTGACTAAATTTTTATTGTCTGATGGTGCCATTTTATGGGTATCATCAATTGCCCACTAGTTTCGAGCTTGAATTACTTGTCCTGGTCATAGTTCGGGACTATGCCTCAAGTATGGCTGTGGTGTTGCCCCATTCTAAAAGCAACTGTGGATGTTTGAATTTGTTGATAAGACGTGACAAGACAATTGCATGAGGATTAAGGAATTGCGCGAGCATGGGGAGCAAGCAATGCCTATTTTTCAGAGTGTACTAATATGGTTATGCCACATGGAGCGGTGCGCAGGTGCATTAAATATGCATGGAGAGAGAAAACTGTTAATATTACTCTATTTAAAATTTTCCTGAAATCAAACCTTTCACTTCACCAATTCTTTCGTTTCTTCGAGCTTTCCTTCTCTAAATTCCTTTTTTCGAATTCCTGAATCTACATAAGTTTTGAAGTTTTTTGAGTATCTTTGCGAACAGCGAGAAGGATTGAATCGATGGTTCGAGCTGGTCTGGTAGATCTTTTTGGTGATTTCCCACCATTCAGGTTTAGATCATCTATCCTTGCTCGCTATCCACGTTTTCTAGGTACGTTTTTTCCTTTTCTTCCTTTTTGACTTTGTACCCACTCTGGATCTCTTTGGTCCCCTGTGGTGTTCCCAAGGACTTCACTTATTAGTTCTGTGTTTTTGCTACTTTAGAGGTTTAAGAAGATCATTGGTGGTAGCACCTTTCTTCCTATATCCTTGGAGTATAACTAGGGTTTTCTTACTGGGTCGTTGGTGCTTAGATCCTCGTTCGATTAGGGACTGCATTTTTCACATCCTTAATTGCCCCAGAGTAAGGTTATTTCGAGTTCTTACTTTCACCCATGTTTGAGTATTCTTCCGAGGCTACTGGATCCTCCACTTCTTGCATGGTTAGGAACGCGAGTAGAAATCCCGAGGTTGAATCTACTCCTTGTGGTGACGAGGGTCCTAGTGTTGAGTCATTCCATCAAAGAGATGTGGTAGACTTGGAGGAGACTGGGGAGCCTTTGCCCCAACTTTCTTAGGGAGAGAGTTCACCCTATAAGGAGATATCCTATTTTCTTTTTTAGGATACACAGGAGGAGGAGTCCATTGGCTGAGGAAAGAGGAAGTGTGCACCTAAGAAGAGGGTCTCCAAAAGTTATCGTGTTATTCATTCTGACAAGGTTGGCACTTCTGGAATACTTGAGGAATTGCAAGGTCCTTCCTTTATTTTTATCATTGACCACATTTCTAGACTTCAGCTTCAAACCCTTATTGAAAATTCTCAATTCAGTCCTGACGTCAAAGCTTATCCTCTCTCCAAGGTAGATCGCTACAATGTTTACCTATTTGATAAGATCTGCTTCTTTGTCTCTACCTTTGAGTCAGGTCTGAGGTTTCCTATGCATCCTTTCTTGAAAAGTGTTCTTCGATTTTATAACATCTTTCCAGCGAGGTTGTCTCCCATTTTCTGGGGGATGTTGGTTGGTCTTTTGGTTTTCTAGAAGGAGAATGACCTTGGGAGTGGTCCTTCAATGACCAAGCTCCTTCATTTCTTTACTGTCAAATGTTCCCCATCAAACGAATTTTTTAGTATCTCCAAATGCTTCCATATCCATTCACTGATTACTAGCGCTTCCTCTTCTCACAAGGCTCGAAAAGGGCATTTCTTCTTATGTTTTAGGTAATGCTTATGAGATAGACCTGAGCCATACCTCCAATGTCCTCTGTATCCCTAGAGTTTGGAGAGAACCTAGGAACCTGAGTGAGTGTTAGTCCTATGCAAAAATCCTTTTTCTTATAAGGGAGAATTTTTCAGTTTTATTGATGTTGGCATTTGTTTTGTTTAGCAAAAAAAGATCAGAGTCGCCAAGTCTGAAAATCTCTCCAAAAAGGTTAGAGAGACATGGACTTAGTCCTCCAGAGTTTAAGGAGTTTCCACCTCCTCTTGTTGCCGTAGATGATAATCCCACCCCTGAGGTTCAAGGTAATCTCCTAGGTACGCACTCAATCCCTAAGCTAAACTTGCTCAAACCTAGTGGTTTATGGTTTTTCTTAGTTCTGATTCTGACACTATTTTGCACAGATCTCGCCCCCATGGCCCCTACTAAGGAAGAGGTTTTGGAGGCAAAAAAGAGACAACTCCAAAAGAAGGGGTGTCTAACCAAGCCTTATGATCCTGAATCTCCCCTTAACACTAGGCTCAAAAAGGTTCCCAAAGTCGGAGAAACAAATTTTTTGGGGAAGGAAGTGTCTAAGCTCTTTGTAGGAGCTCGGGATCAAAAGTCCACTCTTGCTGCTGCTAACACCCTACAAATTGTGGACCCTCATCTGGGGGTTCTCCTAGGGCTTGAAGCTTTTCTATCCTTGCTCCACCTCCTCTGAAATTATTGTCCCTACCTCCCATAGGCTAAGTTTAGCTTGTCCTGATGTGGAGGAAGAAGTGGGTTCTCGAGAGTTGGTTGCTACCAAGATGTTAGACATCTTTTTCCAGTTTGACATCATGAAGTCAGTCGAGCTCAGTGCTAGTGATGATGCAACCAATGCTCTACATGATCTTATTGTGGTATTATTCTTTGCTTTTAAATCTTATATGGTCCACTCTCACTATGCGTTATAAATTCACCTCTAACGTTTCATTTTTGCAGGTTGGTGTTCATATCCGAGCTCTTTTGGGTCAAGTTCTAAAGTTGAAAAAGGTTGTTGAAGAGCGCAGAGCTAGGTTGGCTAGCGCTAAGAAAAAGTTGGAGGATCAGGCTTCAAAGATTGACTCATTGAAGTTGTCTGAGACATCTCTAAGAGATTAACTAAAGCAAAGAGAGAAGGAGCAAGGCAAGATTGTTGGCGCAGTCGATTTTGCCAAGGCAGAGAAGAATAAAGTTGAGAGGGAGAAGGAAGAAGTTGATCAGATAACGACTGAGCTTAAGTTAGAGGTTGAGGCATTGAAGTCTGTTTTGAAGACCAATAATAAGACCATAGAAGACCTGCGGGCTGAAAGTGCTGACAATTACGTCAACGGCTATGAAGACCTTAGGGAACCGGCTGCTAAGAAGTATCTTGAGTTAGAATTTGACTACTTTAATCCCCCATTGTCTCTGAAAACAACTATCGAGTTTGAGAAAGTAACAATAGAATGCGATCCTAAGGAGTCGACCTTAGGAACTGAGTTACCTATATGCCACTCTTTGATGCTTTGATCGACCCAACTGTGTTAGAAGGAACTAAACAGGAATCGGGGAAGTGGGCCTAGTAATTTTTGCTTGTGACTTAGGGATCATTGTTCTTTCTCTTTTCCTTTTTTATTTTGAAGCGATTTTTGTAAAAATGCCTTGCAATGAACAACTTTTGCCTTGTTTGCTTGTACTAGAAATTGCTTGTGTATATCTGAACCCTTTCATTTATTGAAAGGTGAATACCTTGTAATAATGATAATCCATCTGATTCTAATTTTCAAGTCTGAGATCTAGGTGGCCCCCTAGACTTGGAGGGTTAGAACTCATTTAAGTACGAGTTGAAGAATTTGCTTTTGCAACTAGCTGAGAAAATTTGTCAACCGGCCTGCTTGTCTGTCGCTTGAGTTTATGTATTCGACCTCAGCAGAGTCGAGCTTAATAATCCGTCTTATAATTCTGATTGCTAAGTTTGAGATCTGGCTGACCCCCTGGATTTAGTGATTTAGATTCAAGTTAGATATTCATCGGTGAGCTTTCCATATGAGCTTCAATTTAAGGGTCATCCCTTTTCAGGTGTCATCGTTGTGAATGGTTTTACGACAGTCATTGAAAAGACGTGATTGTGAGGGTTGTATTTATTCATTCCATCAAGCCGTCATGAATTTAAAAAAGGTGGTTGGGTACATCCACCTAGTTTTCCATTATTAGAGCAACTCCAAGGGGAGTTGCCATTTTTGGGGTGCTAAATGCCATTTTGTAACCTTGAACAGTGTTTTGACACCCCTAATTTATAAATCTACTCTAATGGTAGGTGCAAAAATAGAGTGTCATTTTAATATTTTAATATTTTTAATAAAAATATAATTAAAATTAACGGTTATATTTTAACAGGTATAATTTTCATAACGATCCCAATTTAACGGATATATTTTTATAATAAAAATTCAAATTTTAAATTTTAAATTTTAAATTTTAAATTTTAAATTCAAATTTTAAATTTTAAATTCAAATTTTAAATTTTAAATTTTAAATTCAAATTTTAAATTTCAGATTTTGTTTGTCGAAATTCAAATTTCAAAATTCAACCGTTGAAATTCAAATTTAAAAATTTAACCGCCAAAATAAAAAATTTTAAAAGTATAATTCGTCTATAAATATGATCATTTTTCTAATGTTTTCATCCATCTATATTACATTCTCTCTATAAATTTAATATCTCTTTTCTCTTTAACTATTTGTCCTTCAATATTTTTATTCATCAATCTATATGAATCGTTATCCTAATATTTTATGAGAGATCCTCAATATTGAAGAAGAAGATAATGAAAACTTGGATATGTTGTATGCTGCAACCAGAAGGTCAGAAGGGTCTAACCAAGTATGAATAAGAAGGCATCATGGTTCTGTTCCAGGCCACAAAATAGTTAATCGCGATAGAGTTGAAGGTCATGAAAGACTCTACCATGATTATTTTGCTATCCCTTATATATATGAAGGTTTTTTTTTTAAGGAGGTTCCGAATGAGTCGTCCTTTTTTTCTTCGAATTGTAAATGAGGTTGAATAACACGATCCATACTTCATCCAAACAACAAATGTCGTTGGAGTTCTTGGTTTGTCATCCTTTCAAAAGATAACAGCTGCTTATAGAATTCTTGCTTACGGAACACCGATAAATTCTGTGGATGAATACATCAAAATTGGAGAAAGCACTGCCATACAGAATCTAAGAAGGTTTGTTAAAGTTGTTATTGCAGTGTTTGTCGACCATTACCTGAGGTTACCAAACAATATCGATATTGCTCGATTGCTACAAATGGGGGAACAACGTGGCTTTCCCGGCATGTTAGGGAGTATTGATTGCATGCATTGGAAGTGAAAATATTGTCCTACCACGTGGTAAGGTATGTATACTGGTCATTGTCATGAACCAACAATTATTTTGAAAGTTGTGGCTTCTCAAGGTCTTTGGATATGACATGCATTCTTTGGACTTTCTAGTTCACTGGATGACATAAATGTTCTAGATAGGTCCCATATTTTTGCGTTATTAGCAAATGGTCATGCTCCTCCAGTCAACTATATAATTAATGGTCATGAGTATACAATGAGATATTATCTAGCTGATGGTATTTATTCAAATTGGTCGACGTTTGTTAAAACAACTCTCAGTCCACAAGGTTTGAAGAAAAAATATTTTGTTAAAGCACAAGAGTCGGCAAGAAAAGATATAGAGTGGGCATTTGAGGTACTTCAAGCCTGTTTTGCAATCGTGCATGGACCAGCACGCTTTTGGGATGAAGAAACACTTGCAGATATTATAAAAGGGTGCATAATAATGCATAATATGATCATTGAGGATGAATGAGATATTGGTAACAATGATTTTGATGGAAGTGATGCAAATTTGCCTTTAGAAGTGTCGCATGTGTATACACAAGAATTGAAAGACTTCATGCACACTCATTGTCAGATCAGGGACAGTGTAACTCATTCTCAACTGCAGTTAGATCTTATTGAGCATTTGTGGGAACGACATGTCGACTAATAATTTTCTCAATTTCAATTTCAATTTCAAGTTGTATTTTCAATACATACTTTTTCATAAATAATAGCAACATAATAAATAACGACTAAAAATTAAAACTCTGCTTTTTCATAATCTATATCTTCAGACTATTCCAATATGTTGCAGAAATTGGGTCCATGCTAGTAGTGTCAGTTTCCATGATTTTTATTTCATTTTTCATTTCATCCTGTCTTTCTTTAATTTCTAACTGTCTACAATGTTGCTACAATGCTATCTCATGTTGAGCATAAATTTTGTCGTGTTGCTTAACTTTTTGTCGTTCCACTTCCATTCTTTAATTCCAGTGGTGATGATCTAGTGATGCTTCAACACCAGTATGATTCTCTTTATTTTTAAGTTGTTTCTTCGAAACCTTTCTGCACAATGACTTATCGAGGTTGGGAGTGGACGAGGGTTCAGTGTCATCCCCTAAATATGGAGTTGAATAGTAAGATTGAACATGAGTTGATTCAGTAGAACTCCCAGTTGAATGAGTTTTTTTCTCTCTTATTGCTGGTGTGATTATCAGTCCATTTTCGCTCCATTTTCAATATATTCCAATAATGCTCGTATTGAAACAGTCTTCCAATGATGTTAGCAAATATTTCTTTTACTTTATCAACCTAAAAAACATACAAAATTATTCAATCAATAGTTCAATATCAAATCATAGTAGTGTTTATCTAAAAAATCTCAATAATTACATTATCTTGCTCGGTGTGTCCATTTTTTCGTAGTCTTTCAATTTGACTATAAAAGCCGACAAATTTGCTGCATTTTGCATTTATATCAGTTTAACGATTTTTAATAGAAGCTTGCAAACGCTCTTCTTGATTGCCTTGATGAAGTTTTACGTATTTCAATATTCTATACCAGAAAGCGTCACCTTGTTGTTCATTCTTAGTAATTGTATCTTTATTTGTGTTAAGCCACACAAACACAATTAATTTATTTTCTTCTACACAGAAGTTCTTTGTCATTTGTGATTTTTTCACTTTTGGATCAGCTTCACTTTATACTGGCGCCAATAATGCGAAATTGGTATGTACAGCTTCATCAAATAAATCGGTGTCGTACATAAGCAAATTAATGAAAGAACCGTCAAATTGTGAATCTATCTACAAAAAAAAATATATAATCAATTTAAAAGGTAAGATAAAATAATCAATATAAAAACATTTAATGGTGTAATATGACAATACAAAAAAAATTAATGGTATAATATGACAATACAAAAAAATTTAATGGTGTAATATGACAATACAAAAAAATTAATGGTGTAATATGACAATACAAAAAAATTTAATGGTGTAATATGAAAATACAAAAAAAACTTTTGGGGTAGAATGTGTCATTTGCCCTAAAATAAATAGTAGGCACCGATTCAAACCCAAACCAGACAAACCCTTCCCCTGCGATTCAATCCCTACCCCCTTCTCCTTCTCCTTCCCCTTCTCGCTTGCAGTTCAAACCCTTCCCCTTCCCCTAAACGCTACACCCTAAACAAAATCATCCAAAATTAAAACACCCACAACCTTCCCCTTCCCTAGTGCTCCTTCCCCATTTAAGTTAAAGCATATACCTAGTAAGATGGCAGAAGAGTTTTTCGTTTGAGAGGATTTTTGGTATCAAAGGCAAGGGGATGACACTGAATCAACGATTTTCAGGCACCAACGAGTCAAGGAGACAACAACGATTTTCAGGCGATTGTCAGGCAAGTAGACACCTCCTTCCCCTTTCTCTTTCTCTGTATTTTTATAGAAGTTTTGGGTTGAATATAGCTGTTGAGATGAACAGTAGGCACAACGACTTTTTTGCAACCTCTCACATTCTCTCTCCAAAGTTTACAAATTTGTCACCCCAAGTCCATAGTTGTCATTTTGCCACTCTTGATGTCACCCCCTTTGGAGTGAAATTTTTTAATTTTGGGGTGGCATTTTGGTAGTTAAGGGTTTGCCACCCCAAATAGCACTCCTGTTGGAGTTGTTCTTACTTCGCATTTATTGCATCTCATCATGCATAATGCTTCTTGGGGGATTCTACTCGCCAGTATGTTTAGCTATAAAAGCATAAGTTCTTTTTCCTTTTTGTTTTTGACTTGCAATCTTCTTTTCAACAACTTTCTTCCTTCTTTGAAATATGAATGCTCCACTTTGTTCTTTATTCAGACGTCGTGCCCCGCTTCTTTTGGAAGACCCAGCCTGGGGTGTTTTACTATACCATAGTACCGTCTCTCAAGACAAAGCATAAGCCCTTAAGAGATGCTTCATGTTTCCTATTGGCATTTCTATTCATGATGACGTTTCTATTTGTTAGAGTATGTGTGGCTCATATTTGTCGTGTGCACAATGGCAAGGAAGCAGATGGCGGAGCATAGCGAAGTGGAGCCCCGCGACGGCATTTTGTCTTGCAGGATTTATATATTTTATGTAAGGGGGGATGCTGATTAGCTGGGGGTGTGGGGGCAACGCCCCCGCGGTACGGTACAGGGGTATTTTGTAAATACGTTCGTACTAGTGTTATATAAATACTTAACATGTAACCCTCCTTTGAATAATTGAAAAGAACGGTCGCTCGCTCTTGTGGATGTAGGCACATTGCCGAACCACGTAAATTTCTGTGTTATTTTCTCTTGCTTTCTTAATTGATTGATTTTTTATTATTCACCATAATTGTTGCATGATCACAACACTACTCATGCTCCTTCTATAGATGATCTTTGTAACATTTTTCGAGGAGGAAAATTGGCTTTTTTGAATCCACCTTTGAGGCTGGACTTCAATTCCCCATGCAATCGTATATGAGGTAAATTTTTAACTTGTTTAAGTTGTGCTTGTCCAAGCTCTCACCGGAGGGGTGGAGTTTCCTGGTGGGATTCTTCATCTTGTGGCATTTGCATAACCATGAACGCTTCCCCTATTATTTTTGAATTTTTCTACTTTTTTCATATGACTCCTAATTTTTCCTCTTTTATGCTGCCCTTTTTCCTAAAGAGCTCAGATCCTTAAGCTATTTTTTTGATGTACCTGCTACCCCCTAAAAGGTAACAACGCTGTTTTTTCTTCGTTTTCAGGGATGTTTGGGAATTTGAAGGGGCAGCTGTTGATGCCCTTTGTATTCCTCGTTATTGGAGGGCGTCCTTCACACATAGGTGAGTATCTGGTAATAATTTGTTATTTTTTGAATTGTATCGTAATAACCTTTGTTTCTTTTTGCTTCATTGAAGATGAAGCGGTTGAGAAGTCTTTCGTTGAGCTTTTCACGGTTCACAGTCTTCACAGATTTAGGCCTATGCCCTTTAAGTGCTTGATCACAGCCTAAAAGCTTTTCAAGTTTGGGCTAGGACCAACTCTTGTTGTTCAGTATGCTAGCAATGCTCATGAAACAAAGAGCAAGTTCCCATAATAGAATAGGAGTCTAAACTTAGAGAATAAGGCTTGTGACCAATCAGATCCATGTGAAGGCTTTTCACAGTGATATTCTGCATTGCTATGAGTTTGAAAGGCATACCGAGAAATATCCATGGTTCCAAGGGTTGAGCAGGTCTCACAAGCGGGGTAATATGAAGATTTCAGAGACATTTTTACTTCGTTTCTCACAGACGGCACCAAATTGTACAGGATAATTTCCGCACAATCACTAAAATGTTGAAGGTGTGTCTTTGATATTTGAATATCATTCAGTCCATGAGGTACAACATCAAAGAGAAGTTAGAGGGACCCTCGACGTTGAGCTGGGGAGGCTCTTTAATGCCTAAGTTAGTATTGCGATCAATATATGAATAGATTAGTGTATAAACTGAAAATAATATAAGTGTGTGTGGAGTATGGAGCTCAGGTGCTCATACCAGGGCCTCCCTAACTTTGGGTCTCTACCCATTTTTATTGAGAAGAGCAAAAAGTTACTTACAAATTGTCCTTCTCTTTGACATATATGACTAATTGTATAGTCTTTTGACTAATAGCTGTCTTTTTAGTTTTAGTCCATGCCCCTAAAGTCTTTTGTTACCAATTCCAGCCAATTTTGTTAGATGATATGATGGATCACAAAATATCCTGTCAGTTCAATTGTTTACTTTTCTCTCAGATTCCTTGGCTCCATCATATGAAGCTTGCTGCTCGATGAGCAAATTAATATATGAGCATGCAAGAACAAGTTCCATTTTGCAAATCTTACAAATGATGGACCATGGATGAAACACTTGAGAACACATTGATAGCTATGCTAGCTAATGAAAACCATGGAAGTAATGGCACTCCCTATGCATTCAATTTTCTTGCCTACTTAACCATCAATTTTAGCATGAAGGTGGTCGAAAACCAGATTGCCACAAGGATTATCATTGTCGTGCACTTTCTGAAACTATGTTTTAAAACCTAACTTGTCTCCTTTGATCTTGGGTCGAGACTTTCCAAAAAAAGAACTTGGATCGAAATTCAAGGGATTTGATACCAAAAAAAATTACATGGTAAGAATTATGTGGCCACGATTCTGCCTCATCATTGATCTCCGAATATGCTTGGAGCTCATGCAATTGATATGACCAAATCTTAGTCACACTGAGTTTCAATGTACGATTAATTTTCTTTCCATTTTTAGATGATCCAAATTCGTATACTATCACAAAAGCAATTGCCTAGGTGCAGCAAGATGTGGCATGTAAGAGTAGAACTTCTAAGGGGCCTTTTTCTCATACATTGATCGACATTTCCACCTCTTCGTAACACAATCATAGTTATCAAAATCGTACGATTCAAGATTCGATTCGATATAGGTACAAAACGATTCGTATCGTATATGAGAATCGTTGTATAGTTGAATCGTACTATTCATACGATTCAATTCGTATCGCACGATTCAATCACTTTTTTTGAAAATTCAAATTTTTGGCAAAACGACGTTGTTTTGCCCACTAAACAGTAAAACGATGTCGTTTTATTTGCAGAAGAATTCACGCCCTAATAAAAACTCAACATATTTGCTCTTTCTTTTTCTGACGTCGTCTAAAACTCGCCTTGTGTTGTCTAAATCTAAAGGTCACGACTAACACTCTCGCATCATCGGTTGTATTTTACTCTCAATTATTTCTTGGGTAATTTTTTAAGTTCTAATTTTTTGTTTCAAAATATTGGTCTGTATGTTTTCTCTCAATCAATTTTTTCTTTCAATCAATTTTTTTATTTGTTCTTTTTTTATTCATGTTTGTAACTTAATCTATACTGTGTGTCACTATTTTGGTTATTGAATAATCATGATTCTTTAATGATTTTTTTTTCAAGTTGTTGAATTTAAATGAAAATGGAGCAAAAGGCTACCATCTTTTCATTCTTTTTTTTTTAATTTTTTTTTTGGAGAAGAGAAATGAAAAAGGGATTTGAACTCTTGACCTCAAGAAGACAAAGTCTTCACAAGGCAAGCCTTCAATTGATTATTTTTAGAATGCAATAATATTCAATATTCAATATTTTGTCTATTTTATAGTATTATTTTTTATTTTTGCTTAAATTTTTTGTTAAATCTTACAATTTACAATTCTCAAATTTAGATTCTAATTCATAATATGAATTGTGATTTGGCAACTATGAACACAATTCAGCACTCTAACTTGTTACTAAACTAGAAAATATCTTATAAACGTTTTGGTCCAAAGTTTCGGTCAACTTGAAAATGAAAACATTTTAAAAATGATTGAAAAACTATTCATAAACATTCTGAAAAAAAAAAGAGAAAATTTTGAAAATTTATTAGCAAAACATTTCAAAACCTTGATCGAAACCTATCAAAACACCTTGAAACATTACTATTTTGATATGAAATTAGATTTGTTTTGGCTTCAATAGAAACGGAAACATTTTGCCAGTTCAAAACGAAATGTAATCCCTTGCTTATAATAACAGAACCTTCTTGGTGTCTAAATGATCAAGGGAAGTATACTAATAAATCAAACTGCTTATATTGCGGGGTTATACCATCTCCTCCAATTTCACGGTACTTCATACATTCAGGAAGAAAAAAGAGAAGAAAACTGCACACATTCAGCACACCAGTTCGAGACAAATCTAACTACTAGGAGCTATGGTAGCATCGTTACCAGCAACACCCCCTAACTCGGAATTAGTCACATATGACACATTCCCCTCCTCTATCTTCCTCCACTGCACGCTGTTCTCTACTTTCTGTCCATCAAACTCCTTTGCAGTGTCATACGACGCGTGCAGTCCAAAGAAGAAATAGTAAATCAAGAGAAAGCATGTCCAGACTGCGAACCTTATGAATGAATCCTTATCGATTGACCCGAGAAGGAAAATGTTAATGGCAATGGATGCTGATGGCAACCATGGCACCAATGGAACACCCCAAAGCTTAGGATCACGGGCATGGGGAACGAAAGCCCAGAGAGAAATTGTTGCCAAGAGCCAAATTGGGGCGGTTATGCAGTATCCAATCCAACCCTTTTCGCTTAGACCCCAATAAGTAGCAGTGGCGATTGAGGAGCCAATTATGAGCAGGAGGCACATAATGAGCTTATTACGGTTTGCTGGAGTGGTCACACCACTTACATAGTAGCGGCGAACAAGAAGGGCAACGGCCACCAGCATGAAGATGAACAATGTGGAGATTGAGAGGAGGTTGGAGAGAATGCCAAGGCTAGTGAAGAAGGCAATGACAGCAGTGGCAAAAAGCATGACAATTGTTGCATTGACTGGTGTTCCTGTCTTTGCATCAACATTAGCAAACCATGGAGGCATCATGTGAGTACGTGCAATGTGGGTCAGATACCGGGCCTGGCCCACAGCCCCGACCAGCAACACCGATGTCATGCCCTTCAAAGCACCGGCAGCAACAACATACTTAGCCCACTTCATCCCTACCTTCTCAAATGCCACCGAGAATGGAGCATCAACATTAATGGTCCTATAATCTTGCATTAGGCATAGAGTTATAGCCATCAAGCAATATAGGGTAGTGGTAATCGCCATCGAGCCCACAAGCCCAATAGGGATGTCCCGGGCAGGGTTCTTAGTCTCCTCAGCCATGGTGGAAACCGCGTCAAAACCAACATAGGCAAAGAATAACACCGCAGAAGCCTTGAAGATACCGCGAGCCCCATTGGGTGCAAATTGGATGTAATTCTTGGTGTCAGCTTTGATGAGGCCAGCGATTATGATGAAGAGAATTACCAGAACGTGGACAACTGATGCAATGTAGTTGAGACGGGAAGAGCCCTTTGTGCTGAGAACGGCTATGATGCAAATGATGATGATGACACCAACAGCTATGGGGTCAAGTTGGTTGTAGCCATGTGCTAGACCATGTGCAGTGATACGGAAATCTTCAGCTTGGTGGTTGCAAAGAGTGGCGAAGTAGGATGTCCAGGTACGGGCCACCGCAGCACCACCAATCACGTACTCGAGGAGGATGTTTCCGGCAGCAATGAAGGCCATGAAGTCACCTAACTCCACCCTTAAGTAAGCAAATGAGCCACCTGAATAACAAGATTTCAGATTGTTATTTCAGTATTCATGCAATTATCATTGCAAATTTCGCAAAAATAGAACAAGTTCTTGCTTGTAACTTGATCACATGTTGGGCCAATACTATGGCCATGGACCATCTACTATAATTTTTGACATAGACACACTCTAAGCAGAACAAGTAGAAATTAGTGGCTTTGAGTTAAGAGTTTTTGGCAGTCAAGTTAATCGTAAAATATACTCCCTACATTCATAAATATCTGTCGTTTTACACAATTTTTTTTATTCTATAATATCTGTCGTTTAATGAAATCAAAACATAATTAATATTTTTTCTTCCAAATTTACCCTTAACTTTTCGATGCATTAGATTAGGTGGAGGGTAAGCGTCTTTCATATTTCTTTCCTTCCCAGTATGTATTGAATAAGAGTATTTTAATCTTGTGTAATTATTTTTTACTCATATTAGAGCTATTTAATAGCTTCCTTAATCCTTGTACAAAAACTTTAAACGACAGATACTTAGTAACGGAGGGAGTACTCATTAAATTAATTAAGAGAGTCGTGTTTTGTTATCAGGGTAATTAATAGATACTATTAGAGTAAAATTTTTTAACATGATCAGTCAATAAGCTTGTCTTCAAATTAGTCCAATTTGATACGACATAGATTCACCATAATAATGAACTAATCCTTAGCAAAGTAAAGTAATAATAAAAAACACTGCATTTGATTTTGGAAAAATAAAATGTGATCAAATAAGTTTTTCTTTTTAGTGAGATACTATCAGGACTTGTTTGTTTTGTGGGATTGAGGGGATTAGTGTCTAGGGTTTGGAAAAAATAGTCTAAAAGACCTCATAATTCCATGTTTGAATTAAAATTTTAATCTTGAGTTCCCAAATTTGACCCGTAACTGACTTGTATATTAAACTCATGTTATAGGTTTCGTCAAACTTAGGGAGGGGTTAAGTTTAGAAAGATGAGTTAAAGGGTTAAAAATATAAAATATAATTATTTCTCTTAACATGAGTATGAATTGAGTTGATCAAGGGACAAAATAATTATATATAGAAAAAAATAATTATTTATAATTATGATATATCTGTGACTCCTACATATGTATGTATTACATACTAAATATGAGTATGAATTAAATTTAATGTTAAATCTCATTTTTATATAAAAAAATTTAAGTTTAAAAAAATTTAGAGAAGCCAAGTTAAACACTCTCTAAATATTCTTCCAAACAAATCCTTCGGTTTAACCTCACGCGCTAACTTCTAGTCCACACAAGTGTGAAGCTGATAGAATGGAATCGTTGGCTTGTTTGCATAAACTTAGGGTTTACAAATTGGCCCACTTGTTTCCACAAAAATTAATGTATCACATGTTTATTAAGACTGAACTTAGATATAAAACTAATTTAATTCAGCACAAATAAATTGTTCAAGTCCATCAAAATCATCTAATACAAGCATATTTTATGCTTGACAAATTCTTTCTAAGTCTAATTTTTTGTCTATTTATTTTTTAAAATATTGAAGTACATCTAAATTTTTTATAATTTTTTTAGTAGGGATTAATTTTTTAAAAAAAAATTCAAAATTTTGAGTTGACCCCAAAATATTTCAAAATCACAGTGGGGTAGCTGCCCCCCATTTCCTTCGATGTGGCTCCGCCACCGCCATTGCCAATTTAATTCAAGATAAATAAATTTTGTCTTCTTTTTTATTTGAGTAATGTTAAATAGACTTAAAAATTAGACTTGATAATCTCAACTATTGAATAGATAGTAGATCCCAATAAATATTAAAACTTAAAGTGAAATCAAAAGTTGAGATTATCAAATTTAATTTTTAAATTTATTTTTTGAGTCTATATAACCTTGCTTGATTGATTTTGTCGAGTCATGCGTCATCCATACCTAATTTCAAGATATGCACAGAACCGAGTGATAGGTTACAGGCTAAAGTTCAATAAGTGGTCAATACTCTACAAAGATGTGGATGATGGTCAGCACTAAAAGACTAAAAAAAAAAAAATCAATTCACACTCTTGTTTTCTAACCATTTTTATATCTTTGTTTTTTTTTTTAAGAGAAATGTTATTTATATTTAATTTAATAATTTTATTTGATGACATACTGTCGATCTAATAATATAAAATTATTAAATTATTAAATAAAATTCATGTAACATTGCTATTTTTTTTTAAACATAACCATTTATTATACCTAAATCAATATCTTTCAAAATGTGTACCTTCTAGATAAACAAGCAACAAAATTTTTTATTAGAGAAGAATAGAATAGTTTTTTAAGTTATAGTATACGTGTTGACTAATTTTCATTTATTAATTTAGCTTTTTAATATTAATCTTGCTGGAAAAACTAATCATTGCAGTCTAGTCCACACTCCAGAGTACCAAAGAGTTACTTGTATATTAAAAAACAAGGGGAATTATACAGTGCCGTCAGCAGTATTATATCAAAAATTATAATTTTTTTAAAATATAAATTATAATTTTAAATAACACGATCGATCATAGAAGATTGAGATCAATGTTATATTTCTCAATCATGGCCTTATTTGAGCAATACAATTTCTCATTTTATCCTTCAAGAATAATAACAAAGGTACGGTGCTAATTTTTTTTTTTTATTTCTCAAAAAACAAACATGGAAACTATGTACAGCTGAATCAAAAAAAGGGGCAGAACATATTCTAGCCTTTTATTTTTTAAGAATAAAAACTTCAATTTGCACCAAGTAGCCACTGTGTCAGTAATTGAATATCGAGTTTTCAATGTTTCGAAATGTTTTTAAATATTTAAAAGTGTTATTAAATGTTACGATGAATGTTTTTAAAAATAAAATTTTGAATGATTTCTTCTATTTCGAAAATAATATCAACATGGCATGAGAAATTGACAAATTAACGATTCAATTTCAAAGTAAATCCAAACCCATCAAGTGAAAGTGTGAAACCAAATGTACCTGCAACAGGGATCTCCACAGCAAACTCCGTGTAGCAAAACACCGAGAGCATGGCGGACACACCCGAAACGACGTACGACAGCACCACAGCCGGTCCAGCGTCATCACGCGCCTCGAGGCCGGTGAGCACGAAGATACCGGCGCCAATAACGGCACCCATGCCGAACCACATAAGGTCCCACCACGTGAGTGTCTTCTTCATATCATTTTGACTCCGAGTCTTCACCTCCAGCTCCGCCTGGTCACCGGACCGGGTCAGAATCCGGTCCATGAACCGGGTGGGAGTCTGCATCAGGGCAGCCACATAGTTGTTAAAACTCTTGAAGGATTCCTCAGGGAGAAAATCGTCTTTTGTGCATGAACAGCCTCTCCTCCTGATTCCTGCGCCTGACCCAGTTCCGCTTCCAATTTTCATATTCTATATGTCAGTTTCCTAGAAAATTTGAAGGAAAAATTAGCAGAAATTATTGTTTGGTTACGAGAAAACGCAAGAAAAATATTTATAGCAGAACTTCAATCCCTTGCGTTTAATTTTTTTTGCAAGAAAATGACCAACCCAAACACGGCCGAGGATCCTGGATCAACAACAGAATTTACACAAAAACGACGAAGTATACTTTTTTGACCAACAGCACATCTGCTGTTAATTTTTTAATAACAGTAGAGACCCCAAACACACAAACATACAAAAGAAACAAAGGGACACAAATCAAAATCATAAACCAGAAGAGTCAAATATTTGAATGCCTTCCTTTAGCTGAGGTTTTTGTTACCAACGATTTTGAGCTTGAGGGAAACAAACCCACACTGGAGATTTCTCTTCTTTCTTTTTCCTCTATTTTCACATCAACCAAACAGCAGGCAAAGATCAGATCAAACAACTAAACTCCAAATTTAGAAGCGTCAAAATATGGTTCAAGAAGAGAGTTTATGCTCCGACACCTAATAAATTAGCAAATAAACACAGTTTCTCAACATAAAACTAATACTTCTATTTCAGCCAAGTCGAAGAAAAAAAAAATAGCCTTCAGAAACGCTAGATTTTGAAATGAAAGAGGAAGAAGGTTAATTTTTCAAACAATTCGCTCCATTACGCAACATCATCATCATCAACAACTACAATACACGCATACACCGTTAACAGACTCAAGGCAACACACCTATCCACACCACACACACACACATATACGTTACTTGCATCGATATGCATTATTAATTCTTGAAAGTGATGTGTATTATTGATTCGAAAGTGGAACATTCAATGTTTGGTGTCTTCGTCAATATATATATATATAGATAGAGAGAGAGAGAGAGAGAACCTCTTCCAAGGAGATTCGGCGGAGGCGCCGAGGGAGGTTGGGACGATGACCGGCGATGAGGGAGGGGAAAGAGAGAGAGTCCCTCTTGCGTAGACGCTGAAACCGAAGAGGATGGAGTGTGAGCTGTGTGAAATAAGTGGTAATAATGTATGATTTTCCTATATATAAATTTGGCGATGGTTAAAAGAGCGTGAGCTGTATGAATTTGACTGAAAATTGAAACGGAACATTCTACGGAGTAGGAAGTGGAGATATGTCTGACCTGTCAGTCAGGCAGTTACAAAAAAGAAAGCGATACCAACAATAGAGATTTCACCTCGTGCTACATCAAAAACAGATTCTACACCTCAATGAATCTAGACCCATCAAAGTAATGACATACAGATTCATTTTTTATTTTTAATTTTTGATTTTTTTTTTAGACCGATACCTTATCCTAATAGGATTTTAAAAAAAAATTCACTGATAATTTATTTTTAAATTAGGTTCCAATTAAAAAATCAAATCAATACATATAACCAACCCTATTTAAAATTATAAACATAATAATAATGTCATCACATAATTAAAACACATATTCTAAAAAATTACGCCATCATAATATAATTTCTTCTACATAAATACGAATTATCAGACAAGTATACTAAAAAAATAACATGTTCTCAATTAATATACCTATTGACCGGTAGTTCGCAAGTACATAATAAATATGCAATTAATATATGCGTTTACATTGATCCACAATATATTTGTGAGATCTCAAATTTTTAAAAGTAGTTTGAGTATAAAATATTATGAGTTTTGATGTGAAAATATAAAGAATATTTAAATTTTGTGGTTGATATATATAGTAAGTGAAATAAAGGGAAGTAAAATATAAATATTTTAACTTTTACGTTACTTTTATCTTCACCCACGTGAAGACTTCAAAAAAAAGGGTTAAAAAAAAAGAAAAAGAAGCTAGTATTGAATAAATGGTAGAAAATGTGGGTGGTGTGTAATTAATAGTGTAGAAAATATGTGTGTACAGTAAGGTGTAGTAAAGCATGTGTGTTCGGGTTTGTTGAAACCGTGAGTGAGAGAGAATAAAAGAGAGGGAAGAAAAATATATATGTGTTTGTGTGTGTTAAGCCGAGAGCAAAGAAGGAAGAGAGGGAGAGAGAAAATAAATCTTGGTGGGTGTTTTTAGTTCAAACCGAGAGGAAGAGGAAGAATGAAACGAAAATCAGAGTTTTCGAATTCAAATAATGATTCTGAAGTACGGAGGTGGTATGCAATATGCTCTCTTTAAATCTCTTTTCAAAGAGAATTTCTTTAATTATCTTCTGATTTGTATTCCAACTTGTGCTATCGTTATTTTAGAATTTCGATTGAATATTGTTGAATATTTTGATCTCATTGATCATGTTCTGCGAATATTGAGATGAGATTGTGGCAGTCAATAACCGGTGCATCACCAACCAAGAGACCCATGAGATCGAGTTGAGGTGGAATGATTGGTGAGGTGTCAGATCTATGTTAAGATCTAGCATGATGTGTGATATGCAAATATGATATTTGTATCTGTTGATTGAGATATTTTATGATACTCGATTATTTATTATTCAATGTCCTTGAGCATATTTTTTCTCGTCATATTGTATACTTTTCCGCTTTATTTAATATTTTCAGATTGATTTTAGAGAAAATATCAGAACAAGACAATCAGAGTATTAAAGACAAGCAAATGTCGATATAATTGATGTTTTATTCATATTGGGGGATTTATTTATGGTGACAAATCTATTTGTATTGGGAGATAATTTTGATACATGAAATTTTATTGCGATAATTAGCGCTCTATTATTTTTATTTGAGTGTTCTTATATCAATTAATATCTCCGAAAAGAAGAAAAAAATCGGGACGTTATAATATCATATACAATGAATAACATACACGATCATTTAAATACATTATACGAATATATACATCCACAAGATAGGTACATTAGTATTTAATTGAGAAGAAAGTACATACACGACATTACAAGTACAAAAATACATAAAACCAAATACAATTCAAAATTACATAAATTATAAAAAATATTTATATAATAAAGTAGCTTACAATTCAAATTCAAAAAGATAAACAAATTAACTTTTATTTTTCACGGTTACTAAACTGATGTTACTATGTTTACATCAGCTAATTGAGTTGTTCTACTATACCCTATACATGGTATATATACTTTCAAGGATAAAAAGTGTAATTTGACATGTATATAAAAGATATATCACGGTTATGAGGGGGGTAATAGCGACGAGTCATTCTCAACTCATATTTGAATAATTTTTAAGTTTATTTATAAAATTAAGTCTAAAATGCATGATTCAAGTTCGTAAAATTTGGATCATTTATATGTAGGGCTATTAAACAAGTCAAGTTTAAACATTTTTTAAAGCTCGTTTATGTGTAAATAGTCAAACGAGTCAGCTCGTTTATGTGTAAATTCAGCTCGATTTAGGCTCGAATTCAGCTCAATTAACACCATTATTTATATGTAAAATAGTTGAATTATTCAGGCTTAGCTCGGACTCGAGTTCTAAAGGAGTCGAACTTGACCAATTTTTTATACTTGTTTAAAAAAATAAGCTTGCTAAATTCTAGTTCAAGCTCGCAAAATTTGGCTCAATTAACACCCCTAATTACGGTACCCAAAATAAAATAGAACTGTATAAAAAATTATAATTTTTTAATGTCAAGTTGTATTTTTTAAAATTGAAATTATAAGTGCTTGAGATAATTCATAATCGATTACAAAAGTTATAATCGATCATAAATTAATTTAATTTGTAGTCTCTAGTTTACGTTTAACAATAATAATTTAATCTTTAGAAGTTGAAACTTTTATAGATATAATGCCTTTGAAATTGTTACTTATATCCCTTAAAAAATTACAAACTTAACCTTAAAAAACATTATAACTTTCGATACATTGTTCTGTACCATAATCTTCATAGTGTATTAAATGGTATTACGTAGTTGTCATGTGATATTGGTGGGAAGAGAGCCGTAAAAATATTTGTGGTGGCAGAAGATGGGAATAGGAGAGAGAAAATGGTGGTTGGCCAGAGGCGCGTTGGGACAGCGAGGTGTTTAAACTTTAGAGAGGTTGACAGGTTCAGCTATGAAAGCCGAAAGGGCTCAATGTCCCACCATGAACAATAGCTTGAAATGGGTTCTTTCCCACCGTAGGAGCAAAGAATTCAAAACTTTCGACCTCTCACATCCACACAAATTACAAATAAGCGCGTGGAAATCCGATCCAATTGCCGACATTGTCCTCCTCTTGTTCCAAATGACTCCGAATTCGATTCGATAAAGATTGGAATATAACAAATTAACTTTTATTTTTCACGGATACTAAACTGATGTTACTATGTTTACATCAACAATTTTTATATATACTTAAATGATCTAACTTATGTGACTTTTTACAACTATTAGACATCATTTGTTACTATTTTACAGGATAAGGGTACAATAATAAATTTAACAAAAAATAGACTTAAAACCAAATAAATTTTCTTACCAGAAATAAATCCGAATAAGAATACCGGCCTCTAAATTTCTATTATTGTTATTTGAAAGGTTCAAAGGATAGAGATTCAGATAAAGTAAGCCGAGGAAATTCCTAGGTTACCGGTGATTCCGATTATGTTTTGCTGGTAATGACAAAGCATGGTTCTTATGACAGTAGTCGGTCACTCACACGGAATCTAAAAGAGTATTTGGCGGCTTCGAAATCGGACGGCCAATATTTGATCCCAAGAAAACGGCTAGTTCACAAGGATGGTGGGCCCACATGGGTAATATTAAATCTAAAGAAAAATTGTTCTGATAATCCATTTAATTGACAATTTTTCATGAATTTTAAATGAAACTGATTGTATTAACGAGTATCTTATTCTGGCGTCTGTGACTTGAATCACTTTCATATATGTATTTCATTAGGACTAGAGGTGTCAATTATGTTGTATCATATTATTTTTTATTAAACTTACGACATTTGTGTTCTCTAAATTTTTAAAAATTGTACAGTAATCCATATTTTTTTGTTGTAATGGTCCCTAAAATAAATGTTTTATTTTTTGATTGTACAAAAAAACACATCGTTTTTTGTTCATGACGGATAAAAATTGATTTTGGTGTTTTATACAGAAATTTGGTCATCAACTTTTATATATTTTTTTCGTGTTTTGATCTTAACTTTTTTAATATATCGGTTAATAAATTATTTTTACCATATTTTGCCCCATCCACTCCATAATCCTAGCTCTGCCTTGCAGAGTGGGTGATTTATTAAGCAGAAAAAATAAGAGAAAAAAATTATTGGAGTGGATCTAGCAATTTGAATGTAGGGAATGATCAATAACATCTCAAAAATTCAAAGTAAATGCTAGTTATTTGAATCAAGTTACAACCCTAAAGGTTAAGTTGTCGCCGCACAAAAAAAAAAAAGATTTTGAATCTCCTTCAATATATATTATTTTATTTTCTCATGGTTAATTATTTATCATGAATTTAAGTGAAATTCACTATAAGTAAATGAGTTCCTCAATAATATATCCTAGATATTTTACGATTAAGAAAATTCAGAGAAAGTACATCGAAAGGGTTTTAGATATGTATTTACGTTAGAAAAAAACTCTTGCAACAACTCTGTTATGAAAATACCATATAATAATTATCGAGATATGTATATACATAGGGTAGAAATATTGAATAATATGTTTTCTTATGTATTGACTCCTACACATAATATATGCATATACGTAGGTATGTTTGGGCGATACACATTTGATGCTTGGACTGTTGAATCGGTCGAATGGATTTAAATTTTGACAGAACCAAGGAAGAGTAATTTTTTCTGAAATATGCACCTATGACTATAGTGTGATTTTCTTTAAATAAAAATTTGATTATACATGCTTTGTATGTAAGTTGGTATTATTCAAATGTTCTATTTTTAGGCACGATTAATTACTAGTGATGGGTTAGGCCCAAATAGTCCAATTTATGTGTTAAAGTCCAACCTCAGTTGAGAAGCCCAACCTCATTTCGATTCCACCAAGCCCAAGACAGTCCAAGACCGGTTAGACTTTTTGCTTAGCACGTCACCAAGAGGAGAGCATGAGAAGCTTATCTGCACCACCAAAGGAAACGGTCCAAATCCACCAAGTCCAAGACAGTCCAAGGCCGGTTAGACTTCTTGCTT